AGTATTTTGACCACATCATCCTCTTTATGCATGTTGTCTTACTCCAAGCTGTATAGGCTCGAAAGCCTACTACCGATTAAGCATATTAGGTGATGTGCATCTCTGTAATGAGAAGGGGTGTGGTCTAATGACATCAGCACCCTATATCAGGTGTGCATAATTATTAGGCAACTTCCTTTCCTTTGGCAAAATGGGTCAAAGAAGGACTTGACAGGCTCAGAAAAGTCAAAAATAGTGAGATATCTTGCAGAGGGATGCAGCACTCTTAAAATTGCAAAGCTTCTGAAGCGTGATCATCGAACAATCAAGCGTTTCATTCAAAATAGTCAACAGGGTCGCAAGAAGCGTGTGGAAAAACCAAGGCGCCAAATAACTGCCCATGAACTGAGAAAAGTCAAGCGTGCAGCTGCCACGATGCCACTTGCCACCAGTTTGGCCATATTTCAGAGCTGCAACATCACTGGAGTGCCCAAAATCACAAGGTGTGCAATACTCAGAGACATAGCCAAGGTAAGAAAGGCTGAAAGACGACCACCACTGAACAAGACACACAAGCTGAAACGTCAAGACTGGGCCAAGAAATATCTCAAGACTGATTTTCCTAAGGTTTTATGGACTGATGAAATGAGAGTGAGTCTTGATGGGCCAGATGGATGGGCCGTGGCTGGATTGGTAAAGGGCAGAGAGCTCCAGTCCGACTCAGACGCCAGCAAGGTGGAGGTGGAGTACTGGTTTGGGCTGGTATCATCAAAGATGAGCTTGTGGGGCCTTTTTTCGGGTTGAGGATGGAGTCAAGCTCAACTCCCAGTCCTACTGCCAGTTCCTGGAAGACACCTTCTTCAAGCAGTGGTACAGGAAGAAGTCTGCATCCTTCAAGAAAAGCATGATTTTCATGCAGGACAATGCTCCATCACACGCGTCCAAGTACTCCACAGCGTGGCTGGCAAGAAAGGGTGTAAAAGAAGAAAATCTAATGACATGGCCTCCTTGTTCACCTGATCTGAACCTGTGGTCCATCATCAAATGTGAGATTTACAAGGAGGGAAAACAGTACACCTCTCTGAACAGTGTCTGGAGGCTGTGGTTGCTGCTGCACGCAATGTTGATGGTGAACAGATCAAAACACTGACAGAATCCATGGATGGCAGGCTTTTGAGTGTCCTTGCAAAGAAAGGTGGCTATATTGGTCACTGATTTGTTTTTGTTTTGTTTTTTGAATGTCAGAAATGTATATTTGTGAATGTTGAGATGTTATATTGGTTTCACTGGTAATAATAAATAATTGAAATGGGTATATATTTGTTTTTTGTTAAGTTGCCTAATAATTATGCACAGTAATAGTCACCTGCACACACAGATATTCCCCTAACATAGCTAAAACTAAAAACAAACTAAAAACTACTTCAAAAAATATTCAGCTTTGATATTAATGAGTTTTTTGGGTTCATTGAGAACATGGTTGTTGTTCAATAATAAAATTAATCCTCAAAAATACAACTTGCCTAATAATTCTGCACTCCCTGTACGAATGGTGGCCACCCATGGAAAGCACTCAAGCGAAGGTGTCAAGTTGCTAATTTGTGGTTAACAGCCAGGGAAGGTCGTGTTTGCTAGGGCATAACGAGGGGACCACACACCAGTCATTAGGGAGACGAACAAGGGGGTACGGACAACCGAACACAAGGGAATAGAGTCTGCTACAACTGTTACCACCTTCATGGAGTAATCCAAGCTTTAAACTTCCAATCCTATCATCCTTATCAAACTGAATTATATCAATTAACAGAGAATATATATATACTCTATCACATTTCACTGAATACCAAAAATATATATATATTTTTCGAAATGTAGATTTGGCACTCCAAATTGTTTGGGCTTTGGATCTATGCCAGATAAATGTTATATCTATTAGTCCATAACTGAAATTTGGACACAGAAGCACGTACATGATGCAATGCCACAGGTTATACATCACTTAACTAGGGGGACAATCACAAAAAAATTATATCATACAGCTGCATGAAAATAAATTCTGCCCATGAGTTGTATGGTTTTCACTATAAGTATACCCCTTATGATAACAAAACAATACTGGCTCTTGCAGGCAGTCTATACCAGATATATACTGGTATATATCGCACATTTTTTTCCTTCACAATCAAATCAAGCTCTCTATTTGGAACACATACATCTCTTTATTACAACACATGTATAACACAAGATGCACAGTGCCACTTTCTTTACGTGTTGAAAGTCATCTTTTATACCCACCAAAGGTGTGATGGAAAGAACTGAAAAAGATTATTTCCATCTCAGGTCTTTCCTTCAAATTGGTTGAGCCAGTGAGTGTTTCAATTCTTCTTTATGAAAAGAATACTGAAAAGCTACACCACTGTAGACTTGTGTTTATTGACTTTAGAACCCCAACCTTTCATGTAGAGTACTGGATATCTAGGATACATTAGTAAAGGAATTAGGATGTACAGACAGCTATCTTTCAGAACATAAATGAGAAATAATAGACTAACTGGACATAAAAAGTGTTCTTATCTGCTTTTACAGTATATTTCTCAAATTTTTAGGTTGTGGATTAATAGAAAATGTGCATATAAATAAATCTTCTAGCAGAATCTATAAATACATGTACAATAATTCCTTTGAAGTGAGTACAGTCTACTGACTAAATTCTCTCAAAGTAAGAAGAACCAGATTTCCAGTGGATCTTATCAGACAATGATAAATAAATATCATGCCACAATGTTGTCAATTATTTGTCAAAAAGTAGATGTTATAGAATGTTTTCAAAAGATCAACATGCTTAAGAGTGTTTGCACGAGATGCACTATTGACACAGAGTTTTTGAAATCCCTAGAGAGCACAATCAGAGTGTATTTATCCCATAGGCAGAGACTTATTCCATATTGTAATCTTTAAGTAGATAGCTTAGAGCCAACATCTTGTTGAGTTTTTCAATCTGTCACAATTATGTTTGAGATGTGTAATCCTTGCTGGGTTTTATACTGTTCATAAAAGTTGTAATGTGTGCTTATAGGTTTTTGTTTCTTTAAAAATGTGTGGGTCATGGCACACAATATTTAAAGACATCTCAAACAATTATTAGAAAACAACAGTCGATTGATCGCAAAAGTTTAATAAGGATTTTCTTTTGATCTCTAAGAAACACCTTTGCTGTTGCTATCTTCTTTAACAGGTTACCGAAATCCTGCCACTGAACCATAAATTGACCATCACCATAAAAAAAGTGCTTTGTATTAGTATAAAACTAATTTCATGCTTTCAAAAGCACACACTGGCTTCAAGCAAGATTATCCTAGGAAAGAGAGCTGCCAGGTTGGCTCACACAAATAGAAGTGCACTCAGTGCACTCAGTATAGCCACACATATATAGTCAAACAAAAAGGCTCATATTAAATTGGCAGCGTATCTATTACTCAATTTGACTGTTGTCATTACTCATTAGTGCAGGTCATAAAGGATATGCAGAGGTGGTGGGATGCAACCAGGCAGCAAAACGAGTAAAGAAAGTTGCCTTCATGAGTCACCAGTCAACTGTAAATTAGGAGACGTGTATGTGTATGTGTCAGTGTGTGTGTGCATAGTAATTAAGCACATATTACATGATCTGCTTGTTATTTTTTTGAATGTCATACGTCATGGATGGTGACATCATCCATGCAATTATTTCCCATAATTAATGGGGAATAATGCACAGATCACCTCCATGCAGTCTGGGTGAGATTAGTGGGAGATTTGTCAGAGTTACACTCCTATGTGGTACCTGCCACTGTTTTAATGACAGTAAATAAAATAGCTGCCACCCAGGACTATAACTCCTACTAATCTCAGGCAGCACTTGTACAAAGTCCTCCTCTTAACCCTACAGTACTCTTAAACTCTACCCTATACATTACCGCCTGTATTACCCAAATAACCTATGCTACAATACACATTAACCCATACACAACATCTACACACAACACCAACACTAACAATTAACCCTTACAGTATACTAACCCTAAAGATTACCCCTACATACCGTAACACCAACCATTAGCTTCTATACAACATTAATACTTCCACTAACACTAACCTAAACATATAATGCAATATAAAAGATACAATACAATAAAACATGTATTGGGGGCAAATAATCTATCTCGTGGTTCTGGAGACATTTATAATCCACTTGACCTTCGGGTCTTATGGTTTATTACGATGTCTCCAGAATTATACATTTAAATGCATACACAGAAAGTGCATGTCAGCATAAACAGGGACACAGAAACTTAACAGTCATTTGGAAAATCTTGTTTAGATGCAGTAGTTGTGGTGTTCCTTTAATAGCCAGGAAATCATAAAAACAATACTTACTCATAGTGATACATAAAAACTTTGCTTATCAAACTGATTCAGCAGATTACAAATACAACATTGCACTAAAATATTGTTTAAATTCTACTAAAAAAGCATCTCTGTTTTTTTAAATCTCAAACCTACTTAATTCTACGAGTGCACCGCTTACTGTAGTACATTTATCCCAGTAAGATGTTATATACATCTCGTATGCAATTTTGAGTCATGTGCCATTTTCTTCTACACAGGTGAAGCATGAGCCCTGTCTGCTATTCTCTGTTTAATACAGAAAAAAAAATAATCAATGCATCCTCTTCAAAATTTTCTAATCCATTACGACAAACAGACAATGTATGTATTATTATACAACGTCCCAGAGATTTATCAGACAACTATACATCAAAAAACAATAATCAAGATTTACGATATATCTCCATATAAGGCATCAATTGCAAACATGTAAAATTAGGCAATAATTATATGTTGATAAATCTATCTGCCTATGGTAAAAAACAACTTCGCACACTTACCTCCGAGACACATTGCAAATCTGCTTACACTATATCAGTACATTTCAAATTTAGAACAGAAAGCACAAGTGGGTAACAGAAGCATGGAGCTTACCTCGACGAGCAAATCCACTCCACATTTTAACAGAGTAGCGTTTGTATTTATCAAGCAACCAACTTAGATTGGCTGATCTTCCAATACGTGAGCAAGGCGATCTATAAGGCTAAAGATGTTTGACTTTAGCCACTACCATCTGTATGTCTGTACAATTTCAAATCAATGCAGCCTCAAGTCTCTCAGAATGCTGGTTCATCTCGCTGCTCATTGAAACTCCTTCACACGCTGACAACATTTTAGGGAAGGAAAAAAAACATACTGAGTCATTTGTAAAGAAAGCAAAGCAATTATAGCACTGTGTCTTTATGCCGACTGAAACACTGAGCTCTGTCACACAGAATCCTGATGTGAAATTATGCAGGCACAAAAAAAAAAAAAAGAAAAAAACAACGAACCCAAGCCTTCATTATCAATGCATGGAATCAGCTACTGTGATCAGATTCACGCAACCCTTAGAAAAGCATGTGATTATAAATCGTTCCACCAAATCAGCCCTGAACTGTGTACAATAAAAAGAGTGATCTTTATCAACTGTGCGCTTTAAAATAGCCTTTCCTCTTTAATAATGGGCTGGGAAGACAGAAAATTATCAGTATTCTGTACCATGATGAATAATTGTTTGAAGGCTGAAAAAAAAAAAAAAAAAGTTGAAGACAAAAAAATTGTTTGCAAGGTAGACAAATAAAAGCATTGGAACTGATCTGCTGAAACACTGTATACGGTCCCTTAACTGCATGCTTGTATCGTTTTGATGTATATCACACAGAGAGGATTTTCGTGGCTTAATCCCGTTTTCCTTTGCAAAGCACTGACCCATTTAGAAAGAGATTCCTCCAAATTATATTCAAGAAATAAGACAGACTATATGATAAAAGGAAGAAAGGAACTTCATTTTAGAAATCGTGATTCCACTTTTTTTTTTGTGACAGCTGTTTAATATTTACTACGGTATATTGTCATCTTTTATTTAGTGCAAAAACAAATGTGCCTTACGTATATTTATTCTACTTGCAAACAATAACTTTGATTAACACACACACACATTTCTAAATTAATAACTGAAAGTCCTAAATGAACATTTTAGACTGATTGGAAGAGTGGAAGATACTTAAATGCATTCTATCTTAAGTGTCTTTGTTTGCCCTAGGTCATATGTACTCAATCAACCACTCCACAAACAATTAACTTCAATTGCAATATATAAATGAAGTAAAGCAAGCTTCATTAAGAAAATAAGTTTCTTATATCACTATTAGCCAAGGATGTGTCATCTGCTGTCCGTGGTACTGAAAGGACTCATTCAGGACTCACTAGATTCTCAAACAAATATCTACATGTACTATCTATACAATCTATTAAGATATGTTGTGGATCCGATTGTGAGTGCAGACTAGGTCTCTTTCACAACATCTCTTGTGTGCAATTAAAATCTGTTATAATTATAAATATGTTCCAAACGCCAACCTTGATTCTAACTCCAAAACCCCAAATCAAAGCCAGTTATGAAGAGAAACTGTCACTAGTCTGACAACGAGAGTTCATTAACCCTTCACACCTGTAAATATGACTGCATTATTAAGTAATTACTGGATTATAAAATACACTTTCCTCTACAGTACTTCCAGGTGCAGAGACACATGATGGCTCCAAAATGCTCTGGGATGCGCTTATGTATCTGGTTGGAATTTATTGTACAAGGTGGGAGAGCATTTCTTCCATGGGGCCACAAGCAAGTACCCAACAAGGGAGTACAGCTGATACATGTGTATAATAAATATATATATATTTATACACACACACATGAGGTCTGTCTGGCCATTGTTATTATGCTGAGACTGTTTTTCTCGACTTAGATGTAACCTAGCAGCTAAGGAGAGTGGACTGGAATGCGCATGTGTGAACAATGCCGACATCACTGTATTAGTCAGTGGGAGCACTAGACCCCATTGAGTGAGCAGGTGTACTGTGTAGCAGTCGCATATAAAATGACTGAACGAGTAGAGCAACAAATCTGCATCAAATTTTGTGTTAAGCTTGAAAATTCCTCTGGGGAAACTATTTGGATTACTCAGAAGGTTTCAAGGGACGATGCAATGAATGCAGCGCAAATAAAAGTGTGGAACATACATATAAATATATAGAGCCACACTCTATCCACAATACAAACATACACTACATCCGTTACACACACACTGCATCCACTATAAACATACACACTGCACATATTACACACACTGCAACCACTATGCACACACAAACTACATCCCTTACACACACATGCACTTCACCCACTTTATACAGACTGAATTCACTATACACACAACCCGCATCAAATATACACAAATTGCATTTATTATATACACACACTGCATCAACTATGCATACACACTGCATCCTTTATACACACACTGGATCCATTACAAAAACATGATGTGCATTGCTCTGTGGCAGACTCAAGACCAGCCCTGTGGGTGGACTCAGGGTGGGCCCTGTGGCCAGACTCAGGGTTGGCCCCAGGGGCCCAGTCCTTGAGCTGTGTAAAGGACCCAAAATTTCAGATGGCAGCTCTGCCCATGTCTCTCCCGCAAGACTGATGCTTGAAGGTTAAACACATGACACATGAGGGTTAAATAAATCTACTCTAACTGTAAGAGCTCTAACTGTAAGCACACAGCCTGACTTATTGTAAATAAAAGAAAAATGTAAATGGTTTAAAGCAAATCTTGGCAATCTTGGCTTCCCTTTAGCTACCTATAACTCTTTTTTTACAGATCTGCAGAAAGTTCCGTAGGTCAACACCCAGTCTCAATATACATCATGCATCATCCCTTTTTGGCCTCACTGTTCATATCATCATCAAGCTTGTAGGGGCTTTCCATCTAGATGTATGCTAAATGTTACGGATTACATACGGATTATGTAAATCCTTGTTCGTGGCCATCACAGGGGTAATTTGCAGCCTGGCACTTACCTTTGCACAGAAGTCTTAAACAGGAAGTGAGTTGGCAAAATTATAAGGAACCTATGGCTAGATACAAGAAAAATTTAAAATATGCAGTGGCAATAGAAAGCAAAGAGCATCTCTCGCACCTGAGCTTTATTTTAGCCCCTGGTTCTTCCACAAAGAAGACCATGACAAGATCGTCTGGGAAACAATGTAACTGATTAAGGACAAAAGGACAAATGGGATTATTTTGAGTGACTTCAAACTGGTATTTGTTACTATGCCTACACAATTTAAGCTTGTTCTCAACACTATGATTAGAAAGCATACCTTGTTTCCATTTACATGATGTTACTAAATGGTTTCTCATAGTATTTACACCAGCATTAGCTAACAAGTAGAACATTTAAATATTAATAAACCTGGATAAAATCAACATTTTATTCTTCCATAATTGAGAAAATGCATAACATTAATTTAGACTACAGGACATCCTTTCAAAAATACAAAAATACACAAAAATCCCTAATGACAGTCAATATATCTATAGATTTATAAGATATATAGTCAATATTAATATATTAATTATTAGACAAACTTTGTTATTATTGATAGCATCTTTCTGGAAACTCTCCTAAGATGAGGGGATAAAAAGAAAGGGGAAAAAATATTGTAATTTTAACATCAACTTTGTCTAACTATGCGCCAAATAGTTTCAAGGGTATATGTTTATTTAAACACCGGCATTGATTGCGTCACTACTAAAATAATCTGAGGTTATCATGTGAGAATAGGTACAACAGAAGAAAACCAGTATCTAGACAAATTGAAATTAATGTAAAATAATGCAAAAGCAAAACTAACAATACAGAAAGCAAACACATTTTGTATTATAAATAAAAGAATGCCAACAAAAATTCAGAAACTGCCAAAAACCAGTGTGAAGGATTAATAAAATAGTTAACATAAACTCCAAACTCTCTCGGAAAGCGGAAATTTGTGATTTCCCCTCACCCCAAATGTAATATAAGATCAAATATACTATGAAAATAAAGAATAAACAATCAAGTAATACTTTAACAGACCTCAATACTTGACAAATTGTTAGCCAGAAAAAGAGAACATATATTCCTATTTATAACAAAATACAATGAATTAGCTTAAATATATATTTATAAAAAAAAATAGATTTTCTCACCCCTCTTGGGTGGTATGTTTATTCCTCATTCTCGGGTCCTCTACCAGAGGCCTGGGAATTTGAGGGTTCTGCACAGTATCTTATCTGTTCCTAGAACTGCACTCTTCTGGACAGCGATCTCAGATGTCCCACCTGGAATCTGTTGAAACCAGTCCCCCAACTTGGGAGTCACAGCCCCGAGTGCTCCTATCACAACTGGGACTACTACTGCAGTCACTTTCCACATCCTTTGTAGTTCTTCTTTCAGTCCTTGGTATTTGTCCACCTTCTCATGTTCCTTCTTCCTGATGTTATTGTTACTGGGTATTGTCACATCCACCACGACTGCAGTTTTTCGTTCCTTGTCTACCACCACGATGTCGTGTTGGTTGGCCAGCACTTGCTTGTCTGTCTGGATCTTGAAGTCCCACATGATCTTTGCCCTGTCATTCTCAACTACCCTTTGTGGTATCTCCCATCTGGACTTAGGCAGGTCCAATCCATATTCTGTGCAGATGTTTCGGTACACAATCCCAGCAACTTGGTTGTGTCTCTCCGTGTATGCTGTTCCTGCTAACATCTTGCATCTGGCTGCTAGGTGCTGGACTGTCTCAGAGGCCTCTTAGCGCAGCCTACACCTTGGGTTTTGCCTTGTGTGGTAGACTCCAGCTTCTATTGATCTGGTGCTGAGTGCCTGCATTAGTGCCTTTCAGTCCTGCCTTTTCCAACCACTGGTAGGATTTTGTCATGTGGGCCACATCCACTATCTGCCGGTGGTACACCCCCTGGAGGGTTTTGTCTTGCCAAGGAACCTCCTCTTTTTCTGCATCCTCGATCTGTGGAAGTCTCAGGCATTCCCTTAGCAGTTCATCTTTGGGAACCTGCTTGAATGCTACTACAACAGCAGACCTAATGAGATATATATATATATATATATTTTTTTTATTATTATTATTTTTTTTTAAGTTACTTTAGTGTATTTATTTTTCTGTTATGGACATAAGACATCACACACATTTTATAACGTACTTCAATGTAAAGCACTAGAGCCTTTGCAATATGGCTGCCTTCAAGCATCTCCACGAAATCCAGTTCTTGTAGCGGCACTGAACATG